GCCAACAGGCAAGCCCCAAAATTAAACATTTCTCAGAGAGAGAGAGAGAGAGAGAAAGAGTATGAATGGTGAGGAAGGACATTGAACAAGAAGAGAAGAAGATATGAGAATGAATAGAGATCAATAAAACATGGGAAACATACCTGGTGTTGAAAAGATATGTGGGATGTTGAATAGAGAAGGATGTCGATAAGGAGGTGTTTGAGTTTGGGGGAGGGAAGGAGAAGGAAACCTTTCCTTGTATGTAGCTAGGTTTTAGCAAGCTTCCTTTTATTTCATTATTTAGAATTTTTAAGATTGGTTGGTAGGCATGATGATGTGGCATAATGGAGGCCTGGGCAGGGGAAATGAGAAATGAGAGATTCATTGAGAGAGAGCGGTAATGGAGGAAGGAGAGAGTGTTCAGAAGAAATGAGAGAAGGAGAGGACTGTTGACATGGCCTGTGTTGCTATATAATATAGTATAGATTTATAATAATTTAATTACCTTCTAATTTATATAAATTTCATTATAAACTTTATATAATTTATCTACACATATGTACAAATTATCAGAAATGCAATATATATATATATATATCAAAAATATAATTTTAAGAGATATATTAGGATACACTTTGGATATGCATGAAATATGGATAAAAATCAAAATGCACATAGATATGCTAGGCAATTCAAACAAATCCTACAAAACATATATTAAAAACAATAAATACAAGTTTTATATGATTGTAAATAAGTTATTTAAATGTATGAAACCATATTTCAGTGGTTCATAAAAAGCGTGAAATATTGAGACCCAAATAGCAACAATTGAAAAATGATGGAGCAACTAAAATATGTATGCGTATACATTAATTTTCATAAAACAATATAATTTATCAATATATAACTTTTAATAATTAATTTTAGTATTTATTGAGAAACATCCACCAGCAAAATAAGCAAAATAGAAAATTTACTAAAAAAAATGCAAAAGATGACTATAACAAACAAATGGAGTGTGGCCTAGTAGTTGACTTATATGATCATTAAAACATAATGACCACATAACGATGAAGGTTCAAATTTTACCATTGCTAAAACTTGTAGTTTTTATAAGAGCTAAAATCAATGGTTTATGTAATTAAGGTGTAACAAAAAAATTAATAACAGAAGGAAAAAGACACGCAACCAAGGTTTTTAAAATTGACCTGGACAACGAACCGGTCAGGGGCCCGGTTCTTGGGTCGAACGGTCTGACTGCTCAAACTGAATGAATGGCCCATTTTAACAAAAAATATAAAAAAAAAGAAAATGGTCAAAATCGTCAAACGGTTTGAACGTTTCAACCGCCCGGGTCAATGAACATTTTTTTGACAAAAATCCAATTTTGGAAATAACCAGGAATCGTCCGGTCCAGTTTTAAAAACCATGCACGCAACCACAAAAAGGACACCCAAATGCATCTAACAATTAGTCTATGCTTCCCCGCATTACAACAACAAGCAAACCTTTTATTTTGGTATTTTAACGTAACACACTAATAACTTTCAAGGTAGGTGGTAATAGGTAGCGAGACTTGAATCTGCATCTCTGTTGGTACTATCCAACTAACATACCAATTGAACCACCTCGATCCGTTGTCAACAAGAAAACCTCCATGTCCCTCATTTGCTAAGCAGCCAGCGGCCTAATTCCCCTCCCTGTGAGTGGTTGTACACGATCTAGAATCCACCCTCCCTTGCAATCCTCTTACATTCATTTATTGTGTGTTGGCATCTCCAGGTAGAAGAGGTTCCCTTGATAGCATCAATCGTTGTTTTTGAGCCTCCTTCAATAACAATTAACCACCTATCTCAACTGCCAATTTAGGGGCTTCTAAGCATACTCTCATCACGGCCAATGTTATTGACAAGATCCCAATGGGATCAACATTTAACTCGAGAACTTTCCTGTATTTGCATTGTACATATTATATGTACTCCTTCCAAATTAAGACTATAAGTAGGGATGGTAATTTTTCCTGTAAAACCTGGGCCCCGCCTTGCCCCGAACGGGGTGGGTTTTCCCCAACCTTAAACAAGGATAGGGCAGGGACGGGTTTTGTATATAATTCCCTGAACCCACCCCGAACCCAATGGTAAATTAGTAAAATATCTCTAAATTTAATATTGATATTTAAAATACCTCTAAGTTTTTCCTAAAATTTTAAAATCCTAGGATCCTGATGTAATCATTTCTGGTCACGTACCAATTTTTTTTTTCGTGATGCATCAATTTTTGGCTAAGTACTTCATCATTTGACCTACTCCCAGGTGGCCTGTGACTCAGAGGATGATGGAGCTCCCTGGTGGCGAACTGCCTGGTRRTGAGCTACTTGGTGRYRARYTCCCTAGTGGTGAGCTACCTGGTGACGAGCTCCCTGGTGGTGAGCTACCTGGTGATGAGTGCTCCCTGGTGGTGAGCTACCTGGTGATGAGTGCTCCCTGGTGGTGAGCTACCTAGTGATGAACTCCCTGGTGGTGAGCTACCTGGTGACGAGCTCCCTCGTGGTGAGCTACCTTGATGAGCTGCTGGGTGCGTTGCCTTGGTGGCGAGCCTCCTAGTGTAGTGCAACCCGACTGCCATCTGCATGAGATGATATGCTCCTCTTTGTAGACAGTGGGAGCCGATGGACCTGCGAGAACTGAATCAGAGGACCCGGGGGTGTTTACCCGGTAGGGCCACTCTAATAGCTAAGTTAGCATTTTGATAGTAGAGAGCTTGAAGATGATATTAGAGAAATGAGAGAGCTAGAGAGCAGGGGTTACCTCCATTTTTCATCACCCTCCCCCTCTGGGGGGTCGGAGCTCTTATATAGTGGTGTCCTGACAGATCTGGCGTAACCGCCTCTAAGTCTCTGCCGCAGCCGTTACTTTCCAGGGCTGAGCTGGTGGTCGCAGGTAACTGTTGCAGGGTACAGCCCTGTCAGACATGAGGCGTTGTTAGAGTTGGCAGGCACGACGTCGCCTGACCAGAGACGTGGGTGCAGTCTCCAGATCTGGCAGGTAGGGTTGTCAGGTAGGAAATCTTCCCGCGTTACGCCGAGCTGCTCTGCAATTAGCTACCTTGCACCGAGCTACTTTTTACCGAGCTGCCGGTAATGTGTCGATGTGCTTCTACCCGAGGCAAGTCTTCGTTGCTTAGTAGGAGGTGAGCTACCTGTGCCGAGCTGCCTGTAAGTGGCGAGGTGCCTATAAGTGTCGAGTTGCCCCTAAGTGGCGAGGTATCCCTAAGTGGCTAACTGCCTGTAAGTGTCGAGCTGCCCCTAAGTGGCTAAGTGCCTGTAGATGACGAACTGCTTGTAGCTAGCTCGAGCTGTCTAGTTGTCAAGAGGCTGCACTTAATTGGCATGAGGTTCCAGGTGTCATAATTTCACTAGATGACCAAATCCGCCCTCATCAGATCCCATAATTTTATTTTTGAATTGCCCCTAAAGTATTATAATTCAATTCTAAAATACCCTCAAATTCTTATATCCCATGTATAAATTGTCCATAAAATAGATAATTTTTAAGTAATTGCCTTAAAGCAGAAAAAATGTGGGAATTCCCCGTCCTCGGGGAATGGATGCCCTGCCCTACCCTACCACCAGGAACGAGGCGGGTATGGGGCAAGGTATCGTGACTTTAGGACGGGGACGGGGAGGGGGTGCCCCGCCCCAAACCCGCCCCGTTGCCATTCCTACCTATAAGGCTGTGTTTGGTTATAGTGTAATTTTATTTGCACTAGTGCAAATGTAAAAAACACAAACTCCTGTTTAATTTTGTTTGGAATTTTATTTTATCCCATTTTATGTATCAATTTAATTCATTTGTACTTCAATCAAACAAAATAAGCTAAAATTTAAAACAAAAATAAGTAAAAATTTACATTCAAATTATTTGCACTGCCATTGTTTTTTTTCAATACAAATTTATTTGGATTGCAACGAAACAAAGCCTAAGAAACAACCAAAAGCACAATTATTTTCCTTTATCTTTCGAAGAATCATTGTTTATTTTAATTAACAACCAAAAGCACAATTGCTTTCCTTATATTTCGAAGAATCAAAATTTATTTTAATTACATTTTCCTCACGTGAATCCTATATTTTTCTTTATGTTTTGGGCCAGGACACCTTTAATGCTTACAAAACCGTGTTCATACTGTTCTCGTAACCTTTCACAGCCGTGCATTGAGAATTTATGAAAAGATATTCCAAATGCAAGGCTACAAGGTGTGAGCACTGAAGCCGATTTATTCACCCCTTACCAGCAAAGCATTCTTTTCGTGTTTTCGATGGTGAAAAAAAGAATAAAAAACATACAAAAAACAAAAACAAATCCGGTTTCATTCCTCACACCAACCCACATTAATAACGTATCTCGATGAATGAAAAATACAAGTAGAGAATATTCCAAATGTGCCGCTGTAAATATTAGGAGAACGATGCGAAGACAAATTTTGTGAGGACCGACAAAAAACAAATGTAAAAGGCTAAGGGCACTCGTATCAAGACATAGATATTATAATAAGATCACTACCACATCACTGATTGGTCAGGAGAGGGATACGCTTAACTTTTCATCATGGCCGGTTAATATTCAAATGTAGGACCCACCAAATGTTGAGATGTGATCCAGTGGTGCTGTGCCTATGCATACTCAGCTTTTTGCCATCTGATTAGATTGACGATCAAATTAACATAGTCTTTGATCGAGTTAATTGTCGCTTACGGGGGACCCCAGTGTCGAAATCGGCTTCAGCGTTAGGTATAGGTCCTTCGAACTTAGCAAAACGGAGTTTTTTTGATAACTGGCAAAACGGGGTTGAGATCTCTTGCCAACAACCTTCCAACAGATGTGCCGTGTCAGAATCTGTTGGGGGGGTGTTGGAACGTGTCATGTTGGCCGGTATTCAGGATCGTGGAAAACGTTCTACGCGATTGGACAAGTCGACATCGAGTCAGCTGGACCGTTATATTTATATTTTCTTCTTCGCACATTCGACTCGGAACTCGGAAAAACGAAAGCTGAAGGGAGTAAGACTTTTGCCATTTATTCGCCTTTGTAGACTTGGGAGCTCTCGACGGTCGGTGAGCAGCTAAGCCGCCGCCGGTAAAGCCAAGGTCGCCGGAATTGATCACACTCATTCACCTAAAAGCCAAGCCGAATTGAAACAGAAGGTATCCGTGTATTCCCTCTATGTACACCTGCTTCGTTGTCTTTGCCGAATTCTAACATCTGATCTACAGAAGTGTATAATTTGCTTTTTTTCCCCTTTTTGCTCTTTTTATAGTTTGGTTTGATCCTTCTGAGAAATGAATTAGCTAGTTATAGAATTTTCCCTAAATAATCGATTTGCCTGCAATATGTTGTAGACTTCAAGTTGATTGTTTCTTTCTTTTTCCTTTTGGTTCTTATAGTTTAGTATATCCTATCCTGTGATCTACGCTTTTGGTTCTTCTTCTTCTATTGACTTGTAGTACTAAACTTGTTGACGGTTTTGATGTTCTTTTATATTTATTTCGATTATTATTAATTTTTTACATTGGATATACATTATGTGCATCTGTATCTCTTATGTGGTAGACCCATTTAATAAAGAAGACGCTCACTTGGAATTTAAAGCACATATGTTGAGCTTTACGTGATACTTGCAATATATTAAAAGTTGTAGAGTTGGATCAAGGGGTTATAGGATCATTTTGGCTTTAACAACCCTGATCCTTATTCTAGGGTGTGAATAGTGTGATGCTTTATATTTCAACATGTTTTGATCTTCATCGATGGTTATTTTGGAGCTAAAACACGAGTATGCAGGACAATGAATCTTATGTACATAATTCAAACTAACGTTTTAAAAACCGAACCTGAGGCCACCAAGTTTTCTTTTCATATGACGGGCCACTGGTTTGACCGTTTGTGTTGAACTGGTTGTACTATTAACACAATAGTGAAATCTAGATCCTTAGATCAGAATATTAGGGCATAGAACTTAAAAATTATATACGCTATGTCTAACATGAGAGAGGGACAGAAGGG